TAGTGGTATAGTTTATTTTTCGTATAAGAGAACACAAAATTTTACATTTTTTCCGATCATAGTAATTTAATAGGCAAAATTTAAAAATTCTCAAATTTTTGGCTATAAAGCAAAAATCAGAAGTGGTAACACACACAGTCTTATTCACCAAGGCTTGAACTATAAGAAAATGCCTGTTACCAGCTTCTAACATAAAGTTGCCATCAAACTCTCTTTAGAGGCACTTTTTGCCACCTTGGCCGGCCGACTATAAGCTAAAACATTTTCCAAAAGCATTAAATGGCAATTAGCTTGATAAACCACAATAAATCCTAGTCATCCTATAAATAATATAGTATTATTCAGTTTTATCTTGAATTCATTTTAGATACCTTGCATTATGACTTTTTGAATGAGTATACAAGAATGGGCTTTGACAAGGACCAAGCATGGAAAATTACTGACATTAACTCCAAGTTTGAGTAAGTTGAACTACTGATTTTTAATGCCTTTAAAACTGTGGGTATATAATCTGTCTTTGAACAAGTTTGTCCAGATGGATCATCGGCCTCTGCTATAATTATCGAGGCAATGCTGAAATGTAAATTCTTTACCTTGCAATTTTAGGGTGTGTTCCTCGTACCCTAAACTGCATATTGTGCCCAGTCTTATCACAGACGAGATGTTGGAAAATATTGCAAAGTTTAGAGCAAGTAGAAGGTTTCCTTCTGCTGTTTGGAGGTAGGAAACTGGGAAACTATGAAGTTTATCATTTTGTTGCATACATATTTTTAGTGGTTGATTTCTGCTATTCTTCCTAGAGGTCCAGTACAGGAAGAAATCTAACTAAACTAATTTTATTTAAACTGGATAACTCTATCACTTCTTAATCATTCTCTCTAAAAATGCAGTTAACAAGACCATCCCTTATCAGTCTAGTGTGTTACTACTGAGCTGTTTGGTACAGTTAAACTAGAAGCATATTCTTCTTACATGTACAATTTTGACAAAATTATCAAACAACTGCATATAGTTTAGAATTAATAGAGCTATCCAGTATACATAAACTTAGTTTTGTTTGGTTTCTATCTAAATACATAGGCACAGTAAAAACGGAGCTGTCATAGTTCGCTGTAGTCAACCAGAAGTCGGCGTGTGGTATTGGAGGTGTAATCATGATGAATTTTATCTCAATACATTGGGAATTGTTGCTGACTCTGCCAAACATCTTGTTAATGGCAAGAAAAAACCCCATGCTCCCTTGGATTCTTCTGATGATACTAGTGGTGATGATTTAGATATGCCACATACCAACAGATTTGCAGGTATGCTGGTTTTATTGCTGACACAGTGGTGTCTTTCACCTGTGTGACCTAACCTGAGTATGAGGCTCTATTTTACAAATAATAGCCTTAATCTGATCACTTTCCACTCACACCAAAGTTTATATTTAGTATCCAATCAAAATGTTGCAGGAGGAATTTAAATTTCGCACAACGACAACAACAATTTATTTATAGTTGTGATCACTATAAAATATATAAACAACAATAGTATAATCTAATCAGCACCAACCAATCAAATGACACATTAAAAAATCTTTTGTCTCATAGACCAATCAGATTTACAATCGAAATACGGTTGTAAGGCATGGACTTTTGTTAAGGTTTGTATCAGGCCTATTTATTGCTGCCGAGCGTAGCGAGGCAGCACACTAATCTCTACACGTGGTGTGCTTACCACGTGACCGCCGAGTTTATAGCCGCTACAATCTCGTCATTTTGTCATCCACGGACGGGCCAAAACTAGCTGTTTTGATATTATTTTTTTGTTCGGGGGGGGGGTTGTTCACAACATGGCGACTGTTATAAACGGACAGAAATATAAAAATCATAAAATAATGCGAATTTCCACAAAAATTCCGAGTAATATTTGTGAAGATGAATGGGTAAATAAAGCACGGTGTTATTTTGTGTCTCTGGCGCAAGAATGATCGACAATATTTTGAATAATTCAGGTAAGGATGGCTTTATTTCGTTCTCGTATAGTGATGTAGTCGTGCCGTGTGCCCTGTCTACCTGTCTGGTGATATATTTTATAATACATGAAGGCATTTATATTTAAATCTGCTGTTTATACTTGTTTAGTCACTTTAGTGTATTAAACTTCGATATAGAGGCATTGAAACAATATGATTTCAAGAATATATCGGCAATTATAATACCCACTGAATCACTGATCTATTCCCGACCAAATCGACAGTAATGATTAATGCCTTTATGCTGATACAAGAAGCAAATTTTAGTTTATTTGTTTGTTATGTCACTTAATATGTGCAAAGCCAAAGGCGGTGAGTATATAATAGTGCTCGGTACGTTCTATTTCTAGATGTTTATAGTTTAAAAACAAACGCGGGATGTTGTTAAATCAGGCTTAACAAGATTCCTAGAGCTATCCAGTGTGGATTGTTGTCTGCATATATGGACTTATCAGCAATTACATGTAATATAGCATATCAATTAACTGACTTTTGTATAAGATATGACTTGTATAAGACTGCCTCAGTTATATATAAAGCCTATAAACATGATTCTACTGACATACATTGATATATACATATGGCTGTGTTACCACAATAACGCTCACAACTTCAACTTCTTTCTAACAATATAGTTTTGCAGTTCTGACTGTTCTGAGTATGATCTTATTCATTCAGAAATATAAGCATTGCACTGTATTCAATGGCAAGCTATCCTGGATTCCAGAGCCTTCAGTTAATAATAAATTGAAGTATCGTGAAGGCTCTGGTTCAACGGGAGGATTCTTTGATTAAACTGTGCCAATCACAAAACAGAATTAGCAGTTTTAGTACAGATTTTGGGCGTGTTAACCCATTCAGCGCCAGCACTCTCCCCTTGACGAGTAAAATCGTCTGGCGGTAGACAGAGTAAAATACTGTTCAAAGTAGGGTGCATCAGGGTGCAATGCGACTCAATGGGTTAATATAGTACATAACATAGGTCATAGACATACAGTTTCAATACAATACAAAACGATTTTGAACAACGTCAAGGTCAATGAAATCATACAAAACTAGAGGGCGCTCAGAGACTGCATACCTCCGCCTAGCGCAAATTATTGAAGTAATCTATTGTTATTAGAATTTGTATGGCTGGTGCATATATTATGCACGTCCTAATTACGCATTCAGTATAAAGTTTTATTTAATTACCGGGAAAAGCAAGACAAACTTTTGTTATTTCTCATTCAATTTTTAACCAAATTCAACCAAATTTTAATCAGTTTTTCCTTAGCCGATGGGAAATGCACTCACAAAATTTCGTACGGATATGTTTGGTATTTCTTGAGTTATCGTCCTCACAGGCATACACACACACATACACACACACATACACACACACACATACAAACCCAGATGATTACATAACCTCCTGGCGGAGGTAATGAATTTATGGAATATCAATTAAATGTATTTAAAACAAACATAATTTCAACATCCCAATAAGCAATAACATCCCAGTAAGTATAAATTCAACTATTTTAAATCAATTGTTTGAATAGCCAAATTAAAAGTTGTACGAGTGACAAAATCATTCAATAATATTCACATTTTATCATTTATATTATGTGTCAACCATCAAAGTCGCACTGTTAAGTATATTAAAATATACTTTTCATAAGATTAGATGTAAGATATAATTGTACGAAGGTAACTGAGGAACGACGATGTGTAAGACAATAAATCATACATACAGTGAAAAACGCTCTTTTTGTAGCACATCCTACATGTACATATCGGCAGCATTTTCCTTGCGATAGTAACTCCTAGTTTATTTTTTTAATATTTAAGTCAAATATTACACATACTTGGTTTCCCTTGACTTTTCTTTTTTCCAATTTAATTTTCTTGTCCGTTTATGCTCGAATAACTCTGTTTACACTTGATTTAACCTCTTTCAACACAATACATAAAGTCCTTCCTTGTTGATTGTCAGAGGGGTTATGATTCGGTTGCTCTCTGATTGGCTCATACATTTTCCAGCAACCAATCAGAGT